GCCGTGTATAATTGTACATGGCTGTGTAGTTTCCAGGTCAGCTGCCAAGTCACCTCCGTTATGTCCACGTCAGCAATTTCCGTTAATTTTTTAACGGTGGGATCAAAATTATTTAAAATTGTTTATAATGAGACCAAAATTGATTGAAATTGATTACAATGGACTAAAATTGATGAGTTTTTTATATTGGAACCACAATTAAGTTTTTTTTCCGAGAATTTAATAAATATTTTAATTTGAATTTAAGGGTGTATTTAATTAGAATTTTGTTTTTTGAATTGATGATTGTGAAATTATTTTTTATTAATATATATTATTTCTATAAACTCATTTTAAGTACACTTGCTGTAGGCAGGCCGGAGCTTAAAATGTCATTAGGCCTAAGGTTTAAAACTTAAATTTTATTAATAATATATTTATAATTAAATTTATAATATATTATTACTTCCTCCGTCTCGGGTGTAGATGACTTTTTTTTGTTAGATAGTATAAATTAGTAAGTTATTAATAATTTTTTATGATGTTATTTTATTATTTTTTATATGAGCAATATTATTGATATTTTAAATATTTTTAATATTATATCTCAGTAAAATATATACAATATGAATATTATTTAACAGATAAAATTTATTTTTAATTAACTCAAAACTATATAAAAAATAATGAGTTTTGAAAATAAATAAAAATATTAGTTTATTAAAGAGATATAAATAATGAGGTTTTTAATGGATTCTATGTCTAAGACTTAGAAATTTAATTAAATTAATTTATATTATTAAGTATATTTAGATGAATTAATTTATTAAAAATAGAAAGTATCCTATTTTATGGGATAACGAAAAGAAAAAGAAGTCATCTATAATGCAACAGATAGAGTATTATACTTCAAATAATAAATTCAATATGAATAAATAGTATATAATTATTAATGACATATAATACTAATATTGTATATTGATATTTTTTTTAATTTTATAATATTTTATTATATCATCATTCAGTATAACAATATTTTATGAATTACATACATACATAATTTTGAAATAAGATTACGTTTTAAAAAAAAAATTTAAATTAAATTACAAAGTTAAAAGAAAAATAAAAAAATATAAACAATCGGTACTCGTTCTTATGAAATAAATTATAAATGTGTAGTTTACTTCCATCGGAACATCGATGTAGTGTATTTATTAATTGGAAAATGGATGACGGTGGTGTGGTGTGTTCTTTTGAAAATTTTGATCCAAAATTTTACTATTCATGAAAATATTTTTCCAAAAAATATCATACCAAAAACTTATTTTTATTTGTTATATTATACTAAAAAGTTAATTTTATATTCAAAATATCACGTCAACCTCTATTTATATTAATTATATAACTATTTCAATTTAAAACTTTTATTATTCAAATCTTAAACACAATTTTCAAACTCTCAAAAGAACACATTTAAATATTATATTTAATAATATAAAATATATACTCTCGAAAAAATAGTAACTATTCACTAGTAATTTTAAATTTAAATTATTATTTCTATAAAAATATTTATAAGCATTATCATGATATTTGTATATCAATAATAATATATATCTCTTGTAAATTAAAAGAAACTAGTAAAATACCTGCTTATAAGAAGAGATTTGATAACATACAAATTTTTCATAAATATCAATTAAAATCCCATAAAATTCATAGGTTTTTAAAGAAGATAGGTGTTGAATATCTAAATATTTTAAAAGACTTTAAAAAGTTTGGCATTTTCGGATTTTAAAAGACTTGAAAAAGTTGGAAATTTTTGGATTTTAAAAGATTTTTAAAAGTTTGGATTGAATACTTCTATATTTTAAAAGATTTTTTAAGAGTTTAGATTGAATACACCCTCTTTTTTTTTTTTTTTAATTATCATTATGATCAATTTCTATCTTCACTGTATTGAGGAAATGTAAGCATAAACATTTATACATTCAAATAATTCTAAGGACTTTAAACTTTGTAATTTTCACAATATTGTTTTAGAATAGTCGATAAATATATACTGACCTTGGTTCGAATTTATTTTCATCAACGATAATGATGGAATTCTGTTTTCTCCCTATTAGCCTGGATCCCAAAAATACATTATTTCTTTAGTGAGAGAAATGAATTTATTATGGTCCTATTATAGGTAGAGAGGACCAAATTTCCTAAAGTTATAAAAATTAAACCTCATTTTATCAACATGGATAATGATAAAGTTGTTTTAAAATACTTTTGATTTGTCTAGACCAAGTCCTCCTTTTATCTATTATTATTATTATTATTATTATTATTATTTTCATTATATTTAAACAATTAATTAGATACAATATATCTAATTAATAAGTGATATGAAACCAGATCTTACATTTTCCTACTTGATCGAGTGACAGAACATGCCTTCATGATTTAAATAAAATAATAAACTTTATGCGTACAAGTCTAACATCGTTCATTCAGTATATACTAATATGAATCATGGTGGTTCTATATCATTGAATCAATATAGTCTCTTCCATGTACCACACATTAGTTTTTTACTTTATTCATGATTGGAAACTTCGATAATGGTCCACATTAATGTCTAAGATAGACTAAATCTTGTTGAAATAATATTAACAATCATGCACACAAAAAAATGAACAAAAATTATTCAATTTTAGAAACAATGCATAAGGGAGCTCAAGAATGTAATACATAAGGCATAATGTTCATCAAATTATATTTATAATGTTCATTCTTTCAACATGTACAATAAATGTCTTTGGAGGCAGTCCTTTAGTCAAAGGAGCTGCAATCATAAGTTTTGTGATAATATGCTCAATTGACATCTTTTGTTTATGAACTTCTTCTTTAGCAGAAAGACACTTTAGATCCATATATTTTGCACATTTGAAGTACTTGTTGTTTTTTGAAAAGAAGACTGCTGCGTAATTATCGCAATAAAGTTTCAACGGCTTGACAATGTTGTCGACTATTCCAAGCCTCAAAATAAAGTTCCATAACCAATTTTCTTGAATTGTGGCCTCGAAGCATGCCACAAATCCAGCTTCCATAGGGAACGCTGCTATGATAGATTACTTCGGACTTTTCTATGATATTACTCCTCTGGCTAGTAAGAACAAATATCCATATATGGATTTCCTAGTATCAACACATCTGGCATAAACAAAACCTGAATAACCAACCACCTCTAGACAATCAGACATTCTCTAAGTGAGCATGTGGTCTTTTGTCCATCGTAGATATCTCAACACTTTCTTTGCAGTCTTCCAGTGATCTAATTTTAGATTGCTTTGGTATTGACCAAGCATTCCAACAGCAAAGTTGATGTCTGTGCTCGTACAAGTCTACGCAACATTACTTTCCACAATTGATGCATAAGAAATTTTATTCATTTGCTTGCGTTCCAATTCGTTTTGTGGACATTGCATAGGACCAAACTTGTCATCTTTCTGAATTAGAACGACGCTAGAAGAACATCTTTCCATTCGGAATCTCTCCAAAACTTTGTTGATATATGCTTGTTGAGACAACCCTAACAATCTTTGTGATCTATCACAGAATATTTATATTCCGATCACATAGGTTGTCTCACCCATATCCTTCATTTCAAAGTTTTTAGAGAGAAACTTCTTGGTATCACATAATAAACCAAGATTATTGGTTACTAGCAAAATATCATCAACATAGAGGAAAATAAGCACGGTCAGAAAATCCAGTTTGAGGACGGCACGGAAAAACTGTAGTTTGACTAAAATATTAGGCCTGAAATAATTTGGGGCCGGGCCGAAATGGCCGGATTTATAATCCATGCCGGGCCTGGGCCTGCTTAAACTGGACCGTGCTGGCCCGGCTTAGTTTGAAAATAATTAATTAATATATAATAATATTAATATTATGGAAATAAAAATTTAAATTCAAAATGACAATTCTACCCATTTTCAATTTAAACCATAATGAATGGTCCAGATTCTATTAGCATGTTGCTGATGGATGCACCAATCAACACTGAATCCATCCAATTTTTATCTATTATAATGAATGGTCCAAATTCTATCAGCATCGTGCTGATCGATCCATCTCCAAAATGAAGTTAAAAGACATTAAGGGTGTGTTTGGTACATGAAATTGACAGCATAGAAATGAAAATGTTTCTATTTCTTTTGTTTATTTGTTTGAATTAGAGAAATGAAATTTGAGATATAAATCATTGTCATTTATCTATTTTTATTTATCTCTTATATCCAGAGAAATTGAGATAAACGATATTGCAATATATATATTTTTTATTTTTTATTTTATCTTTTTTATACTATTTAATTTTTATAATTTTTTAAAATTATATTATTTCAATTTTACAAAAATTACATTTAATTTATTATTCAAGTATTTAATTTTTACGATTTTTCTTTAAAAAAATATACTAAAATATAATCTTACAAAATATTGTATATAATTTATAATTTAAAAAAAAAAAATCACCAAAAATATTTTTCATGAATTCATTCCTAAAACTCTCTTTTGTCATATGACTAATTTATTTTTGTCTAATTTATTCAATTCTTTTTATATTTTTCAACTGAATTCTCTATTTTACCGAATAAGAGAATTAATTATCATTTTCTAGTCAATTATTTTTATCTCTCATTCTATTCTCTATTTTCATTTGAGTGCAGTTCCATTCTTCGGAATTGGGGAGGAGTGAGGTTTCATTCATTCAAACCCATATTTACAGACATAATACTTCAATAGGAAGGAAAATAAAAACATACATAATGGCCACGTAGTGCCTTCTTGCATTGTGCATATACGCTACATATTTAACATCTACTATAATATTTTATATACACACTTGTAATGTACTTAATATTAAAGAAAAAATAAAAACCAAGACAGCACACAATTTTATGCATTCTCATTCTTTATAAATATGACGAATTGCTTGGTAACAGATCACATACACATTTAGAGGGTTTTTACAAACTAATCTTTTCTTACATTTTGTTTTGTTCCAATATGGAGAGGATCATCGTCTCCAGCGAGAACATTAAGCCAGATTTGCCAACGCCCCGACACTTGAAAACTCACAAGCTGTCGTTGCTCGACCAGATCATGGCATCAATTCTGGTCCCAGTCGTCTTCTACTTTCCTTCTCCTCTTCCTCAGTCCTCTAATCACGACCTAGACTTATTCATTTCTCATACTACACAGCAACTCAAAAAATCCCTTTCAGTAGTTCTGACCCGATTCTACCCTTTCGCCGGGAGAGTCAACCTCGACGACAACGGCCACTCCATCGACTGCGCCGACCAGGGAGTTCATTTCACAGTCGCCAAGTTCCCCGGCCACAACCTGTCCGATCTTCTGGAAAATCCAGATCGTACTGATTTGCCGAGTCTCCTCTTACCAGGGGTCGAATTTATTTACGGGGAAGTTGACCCGGAGTCGAGGGTCCTGATGATCCAAGTCAACTATTTCGACTGTGGTGGCATTGCCATGGGAGTTGTTTTCTGGCATAAGCTTGCTGACGCAGCAACTATGGCAAATTTCTTGATTTCATGGGGAAATGCCAATCGAGGATCTAAACATGTTGCCAGTCCTAATTACATCTTCCAAAATCTGTTCCCCCACAGACCCGAATTGGTCAACCTGCCTCAACCCACTCTTCAGCTGTCGACCAAATGGGCGTTGAAGCGTTACGTGTTCGACGCCTCTACAATTTCAGTCCTTCAGCGGCTCGAATCTTCGGGCAGCGTAAAAAATGTTACAAAGGTCGAGGCTGTCTTGACAATCCTCTGGAAGTGCTTCATGGCAGCATCCCTCGAAAATGGCAAATCAGAATCCTCCCTGATGCTGACAGTCGATCTTAGAAGGAAAGCCCAGCCGCCTTTTGCATCCGACTGCTTCGGTAATTTCATCTCGTTTCCAGTAGCAGAAAGTAGAAACCATGATCGGGCAGACCTGCCGAGAAAATTGAGGGATGCAATAAGCAAGATCGATGAGAATTTTGTTACCAGTCTGCAAGGAGATGGCGATTTCATTGGCAGGCTTCAGAATTTCTTTGGCAGCAGATTGTTAGCCCCTGACGAATCTGATATTCTTTTCATCTCCAGCTTGTGTGGTTTCGGGACTTATGGCATTGATTTTGGATGGGGAAATCCAGTTTGGATTGCGCCGTGTTGCGATACCAGCAGTGATTTGAAGTCGAAGTCGCTGCGAATGGCAAATTCAGTATGGCTAATGGACACGAGAATCGGGCATGGCGTAGAGGCAATCGTCACTCTGAAAGAGGAGTATATGCCGGCGTTTGACCACGCCATGAACGTGCTCCAGGGCCTTGCTGCATCCAGCCGCATGTGATCCGACGGCGGCGCGTGTGGTGCTTTCTACTTGAAAAATCTAGAAATATCATGCTAATTTTGCTATTTCTGTTGTGATTAAATAGTATCTGCTTTGCTTTAAGTTTGTTAGCTTGGTTATATGTTATATATGCTGTGATGAAATGCTAGAACAAGGGTCTTAAATTAATCTAATATATTTTGTATTAATTTTTACATATGAGTTAGTTGATACAAATTAAAAATTTTACCCTATCACGATAAATATCAAGAATAAAAATAAAAATCGACGGGAAGAAACCATGCAAAGATCAGATCGATTTTAAGTAAATGGCGCAACATCAGACTAGCTACGAAATCTCAGCGACTGTTTGGTGCCGAAAAGAAAACAAGTTGTGGGATGTTCAGATTTGATTAGTTTTAGAATGTGGGTTTTATTAATAATTATTTTATGCTTCGTTTGAATCCTAATTTCAATAAATTACGACATACTTCCATTGAATAAAACAAAGTTTTGAAGTTTATCCATAAACAGGGTTCTATGCATGTCCTCTCTGCTCTGTTTCTCTCCATCGTCTACAGCGTGGTTTTGTAGCAATTTTTCTCTTGATTCGGAACAATTTTGGTATCAGAGCGTAGATATGGGAAACAACTCCGGATTGAGCATCTCGCAGCGGGCAATTCCAATTTGTTCAGGCAAAAATTATGAATTTTGGAGTATTCGGATGAAGCCTCTACTCAAATCGCAAGATTTGTGGGACTTTGTCAAGACCAGATACTTGGAGAAAGATCCCAACGAAGAGAGATTGAGGGTGAATAGAAAAAGGATTCCAAGCAGTTCCTGACTCAATCTTTTCGAAGACTTCAACAACTTCAACAGCAAAAGAAGCATGGAACACCTTGAAAATGGCATTTTAAAGATCTGCGAACATTCTTGCCATGAAGTTTCAAACTCTCAGATGTGATTTCGAAACAACACATATGAAGGAAGGAGAAAGAGGCAACATTTTCTCACTAGAGTGTATGGAATTGTAAGTCAAATGAAGTCCTATGGAGAAAGGGTTTGTTGAAACGTGACTTGGATTTAGTTGTCTACGCGACTTAGATCCAAAGCGGAAAGGTTGTTTCAATTGACAGGTCTCTTTTTGGCCCATCTTAATTAATAACAAATGGACTTAGAGTTTAGAGTGTTTTAGGGGTGCTTATAAATAAATAGCGATGGTTCCTAGTCGTATTGTATGATTGTAACTCTCTTAATTAGTATAATAAAATATCTCTGGTTGCTACCCGTGAATGTAAACACATACATTCACCGAACCACGTAAAACATCTGTGTTCTTTATTTACAAGTTGGAGGCAGAAGACAAGTTTTCTAAAGACACGAAAGATGATGTGAAGAATGAGATTTTGACAAATGCTCATTCTGCGATCTTGTCGTTAGTTACTTATGAGGTGTTATGGGAGGTTGTAGATCAGACGACAACTTTTGGGTTATAGAATAAACTATGTCAGAAGTATCAGAACAACTCTCTCACGAACATGTTATATCAGAAGAAATTACTTTACACCCTCTTAATGTCTGAAATTATTTTGGTAAAGGATCATCTTGATATCATTAATCATATTATTCTCGATCTTCAAGGGGTTGAGCTAAAAATATATGATGAAGATCAAGCCTAAATTTTACTGTGTTCACTACCTGGTTCATAAGAGAATTTTGTGGATACTATGTTGTATAGTAGAACTACAAAATCTATTAATGACGTGAAAGATGCTCTTTTGTCTAAAGGATTAAAAGAAAGGTTTATGGGGAAAAGGGTTCTAGTTCAAGTTTGTTTGCAGGTAGGGGAAAACCACAAGAGATGGGTAATAGAAATGAGAGGTCGCGTTCAAAATCAAAATTCTCTAGCAAAGTTAAGTGTTATCTTTTCAAAGAGAAATGACACATTAAAAAGGATTGTCCAAAAAAGAAGACAATACAAAAGTTGAATCTAATAACAGTGGTAGTGCTGCGGTGGTATAAGACAATGCTCTCTTCCAGAATTTGAGAGAAACCGACTCACGGTGCTGACTGCATAGGCAATATTTGGCCTTATACACACCACTGTGTATAGAAAACTCCCAATTGCATATGAATAAGGAACATTTTCCATATTTTTCCTTTCTTCTTCTGTAAAGGGTCATTGAGAAACACTCAACTTCATTTGTGCGGCTAATCGAGTGCTATTGGGCTTAGTCATTTCCATAAAAAAAACCTCTGAAGGACCTTTTCAATATATTTTTTTCCTATGATAACCAAATTCTTCCATTCTTTCTATCTCATAGAATTTTTAAACTGAGAATTTAATTTTTCACTCCTAAATCCTTCATAGCAAATGACTTGCTCAACTCTTGCTTCAATTCGCCAATATTTGCAGCACTCTGACCAACAATAAGCATGTTGTCGACTTAGAGCAACAATATAATAAAGTCATTATCGGATAACCTTTGCACAAATACGCAATAATTAGAAGTGAGCTTTCAGTAACCATATTATTGCATAACTGACTTAAACTGTTTATACCATTTTCGAAGAGCTTGCTTTTAGTTGCTGTTATGTATGGTTGTTGTTGCTTCTCTGATTTTTTCTCCAAAGGATAATTAGATCATAATCATCAATTAAGACTAATTACTTACTAAATTTGGGCCTTCAATTCACATATTTATGAGCCCAAACCAAACAAAAATTTAGTTTAAAGTGCACATTTTGAATTGAGAAACGAGTTTTATTTTCTCTTAACTCATGTCTATATGATACTCAACATTTCAAAGAAGAATGAGAGCTTCGTGAAGTTTTGAAGCCTCTTCATGAAAGGAAAAAAAGAAATTCAATTTGAAAAAGATAATCTGTAAGCAACCTTACTCGTAGTTAGACTGTTAGCCTGTTGAAGTTAATATGGCGGTATAACTGTCAGTCTCTTGTGTTTAATATAACAAGGAGGACTATAAAGGAGGATAGATTCTAGTGTTTGTTCGTGGTCATGAGTCGTCTAAATCTAGAGATAGGTTTATTAAAAGAGTCCTAGATTGGAATTGTCAAACAATCATGTGTGTTGTTTGTTTATCTCTTTGTATTTATCCAACCATAGGTTAGTTTCCGAAAAACCCTCAACTCAAAAGGAAGAACTTGATATATCTATAAAAATATAACAACTCATTTCCATATACCCACCATACGACCCTCATAAACAATACATGGATTGCTGATGTTGTCTCCATTAACCACAGGACACCCATAATCTCTAATAGCAAAGTTAGGACCTCTATCTAGTCCTACCCCATATAATGTAGTAGAATCTGTAAAACCTAGAATCACCCAAGAGAAATTCGGAAACTCTACTCCTCCTCGCATGCCTTAATGGGATCACGTTTGGAGTTTAGCGTATGATCATAAACTATCAAAGACCTCATTAGAAGATACTTTAACAAGTGAAACAACACATAACACGAATGATTATACAGAATACGTCTAAACTATAATTGATCTAATCCCTAAATGATCGTGTGACTACGTCATCTAATTGTCTAACACTATCATCCACTATCTCCAAAAGTGTTACGGTATATCGGGTCGAGTATTCTAACTCCAAATGATGCTCTCACTTAGCTCTACCGCACACAACTAAATAATGGATCTATCAGATATATCTGACAAAATCGTGCAAAATTTGTGTAAGATGTGAAATATGTGAATTTACTGAAAAGGTCCACTGAGATAATTCATCTATTCTGCTTTTCAGAAATCTACCAACACAATAAAAAATATATATATACATATCAAATAGCATAAAATGTTAAGTCCCAAACATGCATACGAACACACAAATTAGATATATACATGCACTAACAAAACTATGCATATAATATCAGAATAATAATATCATCACAGTCTCATGCATATAATTAGATTATGCTATTATTTTATTATTTTTTACATGAGTTGTAGTATTGATAGTTTTAAAATAAGAATTAATATATATATATATGAGTAAAAAAATATTAGAATGTCTTTAAATATTTTTAAAAGATAAATTATATAATACCTCTTGTGTTTTACTAAAATGTACAAAACACCTAGTAATTTATTTATTGCATAAAATCTCTCATGTTAAATTAAATTTTACACAAAACACCTTATTCATGTAAAGTTGATGATTGGTTGTAAACAACATTTAATTATGCAAATTTTATATAAATAAAATATCTTAAATGGTATTGTCTAATAAAATAGATAAATAAATAATTTATCAACAATTAATTTAATAGTTATTTTTTTATATAGATGAATTTTTACATAATTTATATATGAAATCATAAAATAAAGGATTGGTTATTTATTATTTATTTTATTAAAATAAGACTATTTATGATATTTTATCATTTTTATTTATATAAAATTTGTATAATTAAATATGTGTTAAGGTCAACTTTGAACAAAGAGAGTATTTTGTGCATACTTGAATTTAACAAATTGGAGTTTTACACAATAAATAAAATACAAAATATTTTGTACATTTTTTCTAAAATACAAGAGAATATTATGCAATTTATCCTTTTTAAAAACTATATGTCAATAAAATATAATATACAAAATAAATATTATTTTCTAAGGAATAAAATTTTATACAATAAAAAATAAATAATTTTTTTTAACATAAATTATTTTTTAAAAAAAAATACACAACACAATTTTGAAACAATTTGAACCAATGAACTTGCCCTATTAATAGAAAATACATAGCATCACTCTTATTCAATATGAAAGATTATTACAATGCTTTATAGAGATTTATTTCCAAGCTATTACAATACACTCTTGTAAGTATTAAGTGGTGGAGGAGCATGATGATGATAGCGGCCACCACGACGGCGGCGACAGCGATTACGGCCGCATGGGCAGCCACAAAAAGAATGAACATCCTTCCCGGCATCAAAGGAATCAATACTTGTTAACATCTCTTCTCCTTCTTCTTCTTCTCCAATGTTTGAATCAAGTGGTTCATATTTATTTTCTTCGAAACTGTAAACACTGGATGAGAACATTGCAAAAACAGATATTGTAAGGAAGAAAAGAACACAGTATGTACGTGACATTTTTAGATTATTATTAATTTGATATGCTAATGAAAGATTTGGGTGTTTGTGAATGAAGGACATTCCAACCATTTTTATAGTGTACAGGAGGATGTATTATTGGTAGAAGATGCCTGTCTGTGTTTTTTAAAATTGAAAAGCATTCTTGCATTTAATTTTCTTGTAATATTACTAATATTCGAAATATATTATTAATGTTTCTTTCCATTTAATTTTTCTTTTTGATTTGTTTGTTGTCATGGATTAATTTATTTGAATTTTCAACAATATATGTAAAAGATAGATTTTACATTAAGTGATCTTCCACCTAATTTGTCCATATTTTCTATTTTGGTTAGTCCCACATAATTTATTCTTTCTTTTTTTTTTGAAAATATAATTATACACTTTAATCACATTATAAATTTTATATTTTATAATTTTATAATTTTAATTAAACTATTTAGTTATTTTAATCGTATTTTTAATATATAATAATTATTTATACTATTATATTTTTAATTACTTACTAATCATATTTTACTTGTTTTGAAGAAACAACTTTTGTGCAAAGTAATTATAATGAATAACCTATTATCTATCGCTTTTGTGCTACACCAAATCCGGTTAGAAACGATGAAATTAGTTGCATTGATGTGTGTACCTGCCACCATCACTATAAAAAAAAAATAGTATATTTGTAACGAAATTTCGCCTAAAGTTCACTTAGATAAAGTAATTTCATCCTTAATTCTGTCTCTAATGTCATTAGTAACGGAAAAAATAAATTTTGGGACGAAAAAATCTCATTACAAAAATAATATTTTCTTGTAATGCATACCGTCGAAGCCAGCAAAACTGTGCATCCCTTGCGGGAATGTACTCGTCGGGCTGCAAAACTGCCACCCACCCACCTATCCAGGTATTGTGGTGGCTGAAAACCCACGCTAGACATCGGTGCCCAACTTCTTCAAGCCGCAGTTGAGCTTTGCTTGGGGAAAAACTGTGGTAGCGGAGCTGCTGAAATAGCGGCTTCTACAGGCTGTGTGGTAGCAGAGATATATGGATGCTAGGTTATACCATCACTGTGGCGGCTAATCGTTGCCTCCCCCGACGCGCACTGATGTGTTGATGTCCTGGCCAGTGATGGAACTAACTTCGGACTGGGGGGGGTAAGTTTTTTTTTCAATTTTTTTTTTACTATTCTATTTTAATTTCAACATACTTCAAACCGATGATTTTTTACTTTTTTTTATTTAATCAAATATTTTGGCTTTTTTGTGTGTGAGAAAAAATTGTAAGAACCAACTTGTCCTTTTCTGAGTGACTCTATCTCCTTTGATTTTTTTTGACGCCATAGTGAGATAATGAAAATATATATATATAACTAAAAAAGAAAGAAAGAATATATATATAATACAATTATATTAATATTTAAAATAAAATAGTATTATTTTTTTATATAAATATTTATAATTAAAAATATTATATAGTATTGTAAATTAAAATAATAAAATAAAAGACAAAATAGAGTTAGAAATTTGGATTGGGGGGCAAAATTACATAATTAAATTTAAAACATGAATTCTTTATTTTTTTTTTTTTAAAAAAAAAGAAAGAAATGGGCTTGGGGATGTCATTCCGCCTTTGGTCCTAACGCAATCAATCGATTTTGTTGCCTATTCTCTGCCTAAGAATATCCGACAACTACTGCAATGTCATAGAGCGTTGGCTAATATTTTGCGCCGTTCCAAGTCATCGATTTGGAACACACTGGGTGCCAAATCTGTTGTAGCTCAAAATATTTATTTTTTTAGGCTTATCGGGAGCGGCCGGCCGAAAATCGGATGATTTTTCTAGTTTTCTCCAAAAAAGATTCGAAAAGGTATTTAAAAAATTAATGAATAAAAATAAACAGAAAGAAACTATAAGAAATTAGCAAGAAAGAAAAAGAAGCCATGCGAGACAGCAACAAAGAAGAACTCTAAAGTATGAAGATATATATTTAAAAGAAAGTAAATAAACGTGAGCCGGAAGGAAAAATAAATTGAAGAAAAAATTCATAATGAATGTGTCTTGTGTTCCCAAAAATAGAATACAAAAATATATATATACTCTCTCCGTACGTCTAGAAGGTCACATCTACCTTATGCGTCATTATACTTGACATTAAAAATATCCTTGCAATTTTTTTCTTTACTATATTTTGATATAATAACTAATATTAAAAAATAAACACGCAAAAAGTAAATGGGACCTTAGAGCCGGACGGAGGTAGTATTATCTTTAACTTAATCTAAATTAATTAGTTAAGATTTTAGCTTATTTATAATCTACTTATATCCTAATAAATTACCCAAAATCAAATAATATTTTATTTCATAATATTTTGGGAAAATAGATAAACTTATGCATCCATCATCTTTTGCACGATAGTGAGTTAACTAGAGTTCTTCTCTACTTTTAGAGTTTCCGACTGAATGCCTTTGTTTTTTTCTTTGGTATTCTTAATCCCGCGGTGCTTGATTTGGTTGTGATTTTGAGTTACCAATGGAAGGTCTCGAACCTGCTCCGATGGCTTCTAAGATGTCCGTTCCTCTTGATTTCCGCAAGCGATGGGTACCAAAAAAATCGCCTCCGACCAATTTATAGTCCAATATACCCTGGTGTGTTTACTTGTCGAAGTTTTACACTTGATTTTACTATTCCAATTTTTTTTTTCCCTCCAAAAATATCAAATCAAACACCCAATTTTTATTTATTTTATTACACTAAAATTTAATTTTACATTCAAAACATCACATCAACACACGTATTTATATCACATCAACCAACTATTTCAATTCAAAATTTTACTATTCAAAATCAAAATCCAAAACTAAAATCTTGCAAGTAAACACGTAATTCTTCTTCTGGTTTTGTAAATACTTTACATATTTCGCTTTCAAGGGTATATTTTGCGAAGCCGAACCCATCCATCACACTATTATGTCCGGTCGGAAAACAAATTTAGCATCTTATTTTCTTGGATTCCTCGATCTATCAAGGTATCAATGACTTGCTCTCCTTACAAAAACCCCTATGTAATTGGCCACTTGTGGTTCTTAGACTTGTAAATATATAAGACTTTACTTCTCCGAGTTTACAGACCCGACCCGCAACCTAGACCTAAGGAAACTCTTACTCGATGGTCCTTACCTATAGGGAATGTACACTACATTTAGCTTCAGACAATGTTTCTTTTTTTCCCTTTAGTACTTTTAACGATCTTTGTTGAGCCATTGGAACATCATGCATCATAAGCTGTTCTAAGCTTCTAATCCAAAAGCATTCTTATCATCAATTTGTCGATATTGTATTTGTCAAATGATTGGACAGTCTGATTACCCAAACGAAACTTATGGCTCTGATGTACAAATTTATATAGATACAAGTTCACTCACTCTAAAAGAAAATATTCCAACTGTCAACTCTTCCCACAATGAAAACATTAAAGAAGCAAAATATAAAAACATTAAAGAGTTATATGGAGGTAATGCTAGCTGCATATGGACAACGAATATGGCTCTATAAGTCAACTCCCAATCATCAAAATATTAAATTTACAAAAAATAAAAATAAAAATTTAGGATTAAATTAAGCCAAAATCATTAAGGTTGTGTTCTTTTATGGCTTTATCACAGGTTTTTACTATTCAGATATTTTTTTTTTCTTAAAAATTATCACATCAAACAATTATTTTTCTCTTTTTATATTATACTACAAATTTATTTTACATTAAAAAATATTACATCTAACCTCTATTTATATCATATCAAACAATTATTCAAATTCAAACTTTTTACTATTCAAAAATCCAAACCCAAAAATTAAAATTCACAAACAAACACACCCTAAAGATTGAATAAGAAAACAAAGAGAAAAAACAAATAAAATTATTCGGGGGTCAATTTTTTTAATATTATATATATATATATATATATATATATATAACCAAGACTTAACCCTTAAGCCAAAAATATCTCACCACTTTACAAATATTTGACTTAAGAAATTGCTACTTTGAGTCTAAAGCCTTGTGCTCATGGTTAGGGTTATATGATCTTACCTAAGAACTTGCACGTGGTCCTCCTATTCACTTTTTTATGAGGTCTCAAATGAACTATTTATTACATTATCGGATCTTTCAAAAGTTCGAAGATAAACACAATCCAAAATTCAATCGAACACTAACAAACAAACAAACAAACACTAGAGATTCCTCGACATTCTTTTTGGTAAAAAACCAAGCATACACTGACTGCAACAAGAATTTGCAACAACTTAACAATGAATCGTCGGATGGCTAGCCGGCAGCGGCGTGTGTACGTGTCTGTGTGTGTGTGTGTGTGTCGAAGAAAGAATTACAAATGGAGGGAATCTATATGTACATTCAGGACATCATTTTTATGCACAAAACAAAACCATGTCAATCGAATGCGAAACAAATAAATATCTCCTGGATACGAGGAAAAGGCACTGGTCTTGTCTTCATCATGGAGACCGCCAGTAAAATAACAACCAGATGAAGACATCCAGCTCGGCAAACAACAACGCTATCCAGTTCAATCAAAACGGGGTCGTACTATGGTCTCGAGTCTTCTAACGTGGGAGGTAATAAATTAAGGAAACTGCCCTGTGCAGGTTGGTTGGATGTGGAGTTAGACTCCTCACCTGCGCATATTATGATCATAAGTGTGTAAGAACATACATACCATTAGTTGTACGTAAAGAATGATCGTAGGAGAAGAATCTTACTGAAAAGAGACTTCACAGTAGGTCTCTTAGGTTTGGTGCTCTTCTTCTTCAGTTCAGCTGCCGACAAAGATTAAAGTGGTTTCAAACTAGTTTCCGGAAGATATATACAGAATAATATATATGCAGCAACTAATTTCGAGTAATGCGTGGATTAAGAAGCTAAAGAGGAAGACAGCTTACTGATTCCCGGAACTTCGTGGTCATTCACAATTTCGAAGTTCTTATAGGTGTAGCCCATAAAATTGACATCCTTAGATGAAAGCATCTGCATCATCGAACAGTAGTTACTCGGATTGATGACATTATAAAAATGATTTTTAGTGAGGACTAACTTCAACAACTATTTAGTCACTACGATGGGTCCTTGTTCAGTCGTCGAAGAAAAATTGCAGTTGTGGTTTATTCAGTCCACAGTTTGGTCGATGCACACATGCATATAGCTTAATATTGCAATTTCAATTAGGAACAAACTCTTTCCAAGACTCTCGGCATAAATTATTCAACCAGGGATAATTAAAGGATTCGAGTAAACCATAGGAAAGTAAATACTAACCTTCCTCCATGGACCTGATTTTGTAGTTGATGGGACCTGATTGTCAGACTGTAGAAAATTTCAGTGTGATGTTAAGAACAGGAATATATAATGGGTATTAATTATACTATAGATGTAACAGAATATGAATGAAACCTCGTCGAACTTTTCAAAGTTTTGAGTATCCAATTCATCTTTTACTTCGGGAATGAATGCAGCTTTCATTTGATATAACTTATCCCATTCAGTGCCTCTGAACCACGGGTGAGCCTGGGAAAACCGTGAAATTTTAGCTAAACTGTCTGAAAAGGATTATGAATTGTTTCCAAAAAAAAAAAATATATGAAATAGATACCACAAAACACCTTAATCTCATTAGCGCCTCTTGTTCCGAGCCTTTTTTCTACATTGCACAACAGTTTACAAATGAGGTCTTTGGCTTCCCGTGACAGTTTTGCCTCTTCAGGAAACTTTAAATGTGTTCTCCAGTTTACAATCTACCCGAAAACAGAAAATAACTTTTAGAAACCATTACATACACAGAATAGAAAATAAAGGGAAACAAACAATCACTAATAGGAATTGCTGCATGTTCGAAGAAGGAAACAAAAACATAACATGCGGAAGCATTCTTTTATTTAATTAATAACATTAATGATGTTAAAGAATGAAACAATGTTATCAGCTACGAAAAGGGTTACTATCCTATTAAAGGCTATGGAATTTTCAACTAAAGCACGATATTATTATTGTTCCTTGCATCCCAACATTATATGGTGCCTACTGATCACTGAACATCACCCTATCAACGTACAAATAAAATGTAAAAATGTAATGTATCACGTACAAATAAAATGTCAAAATGTAATGTATCAAACACACAGGGAGTGATGCGGCGTTTGTGCTCTGAAAATAATAGATACCACAATTCATCTCAAAATTACCTTTCTGCAAGTAGACATGGGCTCATCTGAATAGAATGGTGGATACCCAACCAGCATCTCATACATTATAGCCCCCAAAGACCACCTAGAGCAAAGACGAATGAACCATAATTAGGCAAACAACTCTATTATTTGGCAGAGAAAACAACATAAAGCAGCATATACCAATCACATTCCATCCCATATCCTTTCTTCAGAAGAACTTCAGGAGCAATGTAATCAGGCGTTCCAACAGTTGAATAAGCCTGCGATCAGTACACAACAATGAATATGAGAATTAATTATCTCAAAGCATTCGATTTATACATATGGTGTAGGAATTAGACACTGTAATCAAGTGTTGTATTCGACAAGGACACTTACAAGCATCCTTCTGTTCCTCTGCCAGTGTTGCAGCTGCTCTTGCTGCGTTCTCCTAGGTGCTGCAGGGCGTCCATCACTTTGAAGAGGTCCACTATAAGCACTTCCCACAGAAAAATCCTTCTCTTGAATATTACTGCAATCTAGCGGTTTGCACAATCCAAAGTCTGATAGTTTCATATGGCCATTCCGGTCAAGTAACAAATTATCGGGCTTGATGTCTCTGCACAATTAAAAAATTGCAACTTAAATCAGACACAACTCTAAAAAATTAGGGCTAAGAAAGTGTAGTAAATTTATCAATCTATAAGAAAATCAGTGCAAACCTATGAATATAGTTGTGCTTGTGGATAGATTCAATCGCAAGAACTGTTTCTCCAACATAAAACCTTGCTTCATCTTCTGTTAATGTATCTTTACGCATCAGCAAAGTCATCATATCTCCACCAGGGAGATATTCCATTATTAGATATAGATACTCGTCATCTTGGAAAGAGCAATAAAGTTTGACAATGCAGTTGCTGTCCACTTCGGCAAGTAGATTCCTTTCTGCTTTAACATGCTCGACCTAGACAAACAGAATGAGGGAAATAAGTGATTTTCGATCATTTTTCATTTATGGGGCAAAGCCATTGATTTCTACCTGGCCCCTACGAAGCATTTCAGACTTTTTAAGCTTTTTCATGGCATATATATGGCTAGTTGACTTCTCCCTACAGACTCTAACCTGCACAAGTAAAACACCTTGGAGTGCTACCATATCAAAATAGAAGAAAATACAGCTAGAAGTAAGTTATCGACGAAAACAAACCTCCCCAAATGCACCCTTTCCAATCATTGTTAGTGGTTCAAAATCATCAGCACCCATTTTATGCCTCTGAAGACGCATGTACTCCGTTTCCTTTTTCTCGAGATACTTTAAAATATTGTTCTGCTCTTCTTCTGAGACCTCAGCATCAGCCAGTTTCCTCTCTAACATATAGCGACTACAGAGGTACACAAATAGACAAGTAATGCTATTCAGAATCACTAGAAGACTCAACTGTAGTTTTGTTTGCTGTTCTAATGTTTACACCGACTCAAAACAAAATTTTCAAATAACTCACCCATTGAAACATACCCCCTACTAAAATAAATATAACTTCTGTAACTTGGTGTACCAGATCGCCAAATCTTAAGTTTATCAACAACATGAAATAATAAGCACAGGAAGTTTCGTTTGCATGCTGATTGGGATTAACTTTCTAAGCCACCATTTTAAACGCTTTCCAGTAAGCCCAACAAGCAGAAAGCCTTCCATTGTATGAACAACTCCCATACACCATCCCGGTTCATCCAATTCAAAACAAGCAGCAACCAATTATGTCAAACCTGCCAAACTCCAGGATTATCCATTTGACATTGAGAAAACACCCATTTCCCTCAGACGTCACTTTTATAAGCATCTACTCACTAAACAAGTATCTCATTGTTTTGACAGCCATCGTATGCTGCATTATTCAGTTCATTAGTAGCATGCTCAATGTCCTAATATCAATTGCTGAAAATTTATATTTCAATGGCATCCGACTAATGTAAGTCGCAATAAAGATGTTAGCCTCTGAAAGATGAATCTTAACCAATTAACCAGACACCCACACCCAAGAAAAAGTAAGCCAATGTTTGAAGCCTCCTGATTATCTAAATTTAAGGTTAATTCTCTGACTGACTTCACCGTTCATGCTTCATGCTTTCCAGAAACAAATGTATGACATTATGGATAGTAAATGCAGCATAGCATAGCTACTTCCAGCAACAACCTCCTTTGCTAAAGTAATAAAGAAAGTGAAACAATCTATTTTAGAGAAAGTAATAAGCTATTGCACAAGCAAATTAATATTTGATAGATTTCCAACATACAAAGAGTGGTAGCATGCAAAGAAACACGGGAAAATACATGCAGTAAATACTGCTCATGATAAAATGAAACCAAAAAGTTATACCGTTCTCTACGTTCTTGCAGGCTTCTCATCTGTTCCTTGTAATGCTTTTCTATATACTGCTTGGCAGCAGCTACCTTCTGCTGGGTTGCATTAGAAGGAGTGTCGTCATTCAATGGCGTTTTTGAACCATCTGTCCCATGAGGCATGGCTTCCTTCTTTTTGCTTGAAGTACCATGTTTCTCTTTCGATCGGTATTTTGCAAACCAACGTCTGGCCGTTTCCATCTATGTTGTATCTTAAGAAAACCAACTTCAGTTCACTATTCAAAATTGAGGATCTCTGATATCTATCTTTAGTAATCTGAAAGCCTCCAATGCTTCAGTTATCAAATCAATCTTGACAGGTCTGAAGTGAAAATGAAGAAAATTGTTGGTGCTACCAAGAGAAATAATCCAAATGTAATCAACAACAGTAATATTTCATTCAACAAATCACTTTTTGGTTGGTATGATATGGACCAACTAAACCTTCCATAATTGGTGCTATCACTTGCGTCCCTTTTTACCTTTGAAAATTAGCCTGTCCCTTTACTTAATTCAACTTCAAATCACGGAATCATCTCCATTGAACTTCAAATTTTTCTTTAAAAAAAAAAATGGAAAAAAACCTTAATGAAATAAAGAAAAAATAAGCATCAAAACAACAATGATCTTACATAGAAGTGGAAAACTAGCCCCAGGTGTCTATCTCAAGTCGCCAAAAATCCGAAACGAGACTAAACAGAATGTTGAAAATTGTAAATCAAAATAAGCTAAAAGCAATCAAATGGCGGAACGATTCAACTCCTTTTACTCTTCAATCCACCAAAGTCGAAAAAGATCTTAAAAAATTCACAAATAAACCACTCATTTTAGATATTGCCATGAAAATTTCACTCCACAAAATTACAGGAAAAAGAAAAATATACTATGACAACCATTTTCAGTGCAAATTCAATACCACGATCGCAATCAAACGCATCAAACCGATCCAGGAACAGAAATGTTCAATAAATCCTGAACTCCAAATCCCAAATATTAAAAAGTAAAATAAAAAAAAAAAAAAATCAGTCACCTGTGTATTCACTCCAGAGAACATGTCATTACCAATTCACCCGCCGCATCAAAGCCAGCAAATGAACATCGACACAACCAGCTCACTACTTCAACTTAATAAATAAATAAAATTGAGACTGCAGCACATCACCGCGAGCTTGCGACCCTATCTTCCTACATATTGTGAATAAAATTCAGCGGAAGAAGAAGACTGTAATCGCCAGTCCATGGTGTGGGTGAACCAATCGCCATTGCAAAGCTCAGACATACAGAGCCGAGATTTCTTCCCATTTATTTATTTATTTATTTTTTTTCCGGATTTTCTTTTTAATTAATTAATAAATAAATAAATATAACTGTACTACTCCTCTTTTTAGGTGGTTTTCGAGCACTAATTGCAGTTTTTCGCTGAGTTAATTAATTGTCAGCTCTTTTCTAACTGTAACATGCCTCAATTTCTCGCTCGAGAAATTCGGACGCGCTTTTACGAGAAATTGGAAAGAGCGGAGAAAGCGCGGTTCTTACACAACGCTTTTGCTTTATTTTTATTTTTATGTGCTTTCACGTCTTTATTACCTTTTAAATTTTAATAAATAGCAATTTATTTGTGGTCCAAATTTTTTTATTTTATCCTATTGTTCTTTTGAATTAGAATTCAATGTACTGTATAAAAATAGTATTTTTTTTATAAAAAAAAAATTATTATTTTATTTTACAATAATATTATATAATTAAGATCAATAAATATTAAAATTAAATTTAAAAGAAACAATTTTTACACATGGAAAAAATGCGGTACTCCCTCTGTCTCATAAAAAGGGTTTCAATTTCCATTTTCGTCCGTTACAAAAACAAGGTACCATTATCTAATTTAGTAATTGTATTACCTACCTAATATAATAAATATCTTTTCAATTTACAATATATTACACAAATGTCACCACATTTATATTACACAATACTAATAAGGGTATTTTTGTCTTTTTCACTACAATCCAATATAATACTAATATTAAAAAATCTACGTACAAAAAGCAAATATTACTCTTTATATGGGACGGAAGGAGTATTTTTTTTTAACCTATTTTATTTCAAAAAATATTATATAATTAAGATTGATAAATATTTAAATTAAATTTTAAAAAACATTTTTAACACATGAAAAAAATGTGGTTTTTTTTTTTTCCTTTTTTACCTCAATATAGCACATTCATTAAAAATATATATTTTGTCCAATTATTATAAAAATTTGAAAATGTATATATCATACTCCCTCCGTCCCATAACCAGGTATCTATTTGTTTATTGCACATAATTTTAAAAATATTAGTATTATATTGGGATGTAGTAAGAATAAAGTAGAAATAACTAAAATAACCTTACTAGTATAGTGTGATATAAAAGTAATGACATTTGTGTAATATATTGTAAATTGTAAGGGTATTTGTAATGTTAATTAGATAGTATATTTACTAGAAAATGAAATGGATATTTTGTTATGGGACGAACTAAAATGAAAAAATAGATACTTTGTTATGAGACAGAAGGAGTATTTTTCTTGGTAAATTACATGGCATATGTTTACTCAATAATTATATTCTTTTATTTCTACTTCAATGTATATAAGTCATATTTTTTTCTTCATAGATTACATAACACGTGTTTTAAAATATTTAGTAAATCCTTTTTTATTAAAAGTTATTTAAATATTGATAAAATATTTATTATTTATGAAAAATTAAAGATATTTTCGTATTAATATGAAAATTATTTTCAATATATAAGTAGCAAAATGTAAGTTGGATGAAAGGAATATATTATTACAAGCAAAATAGATTATGAAATAGTAAATGCTTTTTGCATGACTTATTTATTACTTTAAAAGCCACATGTTGTGCATTATTTTAAAAATAGAAATAAAAGGATGGGAAATATTTTTTAAAACAATGTGTATTGTATGGTTTGTTTGGCTGTTCTTTGAAATTGAGTGTTATTTGAATTTTTGTTTTAATAATATTTTGATGTCATTTTTTTGTAAAATAAAATAATGTATTTTTATTAAAGATTGTGAAGATAAATAATATTGATTTTGATTTGAATGTTAAAAAAAAAAATTAAAGATTTTTTAAAGTTTATATTGCTAATCATTAAAAACTATTAAAATGTTTATTCTTATTATTTATAATTTTGTAAATAAAATAATATTATTTATTAAAAACTTTTATTTATAAATGATAAAAATTACTCTCTTCGTCCCCGTATTTTTCATTTTCGTCTGTCCCACGTAATTTATTATTATTTTTTTTCTGAAAATATAATTATACACTTTAATTATATTTTAAATTTCATAATTTATAAATTTTTTTATCTTAATTAAATTATTTTTATTATATCATAATTATTTTTAATAATATATTTTGTAATTACTTACTAATTATATTTTCTTAAATTCTCGTATTTTCTGTAAAGTGGATAACTTTTTTTGGACAGAGAGTAATTTTTTTTTTTTTTTTTTACATAATTTAGCTAAATATACTATAAATTGTATTTGCCATGCAAATATAGAATTAAAAATATTGTGCATAAGCAATAATAAATTGTACTACTCTCTTCGTCCCGGTGCAAGGTTGTCGTTTACTTTTTGCAAGTAGATTTTTTAATATTAGTATTATAATGGGTTGTAGTGAAAATGACGAAAATGTCCTTATTAGTATTGTGTAATATAAAAGTAATGGTATTTGTGTAATATAATATAAATTGGAATGGTATTTATTATGTTAGGTAGGTAGTACAATTACTAAATTGATAATCTTGTTTTGGAACTGACGAAAATAAAAAATGACAATATTTCAATGGGACAGAGAGAGTATATGTTTTTAGATGACTTATGTACGTGCTTAAGTATAATGTGTTCTTATGTAAAAAAAAATTGGGTGCGTTTATTTTGTAAAATAGTTTGAAAAAATATTTTTTTACCTGTAGTATAGAAATAAGGTAATGAATAAAAAAAAATAATGAATATACATAATACATTAATTTTTTTTAAATATGTCTTATGTAATTTTTGACAAAAGAATATTTTTCTATATAAAAGTAGATTGTGTTCTTTTATTTTGTTTTCAAAATTTTTATTGTAACTGTACTTTGAATGTGACATTTTGTTCAAAATGTATAGTATTTTTTTTATTATTATTAAAAATTGGTTGTTTCATTTTAATAATAATAATATTATTGAATTCATAGTATAGTGAAAATTTATGCATAAGAATTAAATAATAATATAAAATATTATTGGATGCAAATTTAACTCTCATATTGGAGAATAAAAAAAAAAATTCATACTTTATAAGTCTCACATATAACTCAATTAGTAAAAGACATTGTCGAACCTTGAATACAACCCTCTTTGAAAAAACAAATAGTTCTTTATGTTTAGAAAATTACTATTTATGTTTAATCTGATTGATTGTCCAAATTGTTTACATTTATTTCATGATTAAAATTTTAATTCAACAATCTTATATTTTGGTAAACACATGTTGTATGTTGTATGACCTTTTGAGCTCGTGAAATTTTCTATAAGATATGTGTTTGTTTGGGAGAGTGGATTTAAAATACATTATTCATCTCATTTTTTCCCCCACAAAAATATCAAATTAAACACCTATTTTTTATTTTTTATATTATACTAAAAATCAATTTTACATTCAAAATATCACATCAACACCTATTTATATCACATCATACCACTATTCAAATTCAAAATTTTTACTATTCAAATCTCAACTCAAAATCCAAAACCCCAAACAAACACACCTGATTCAAAGCAGTCTATATTGCATTTATCGCAAGTACATCTATCAATGGTCGCAACAGTAATTGACATAGATTAGGATCATCTCCATGAATCAACTCGAAAATGAAGTATCTAATATATTCGGGAAACTTACAAATGACAAATCAAAAGAAAAGTAGGATAAATACACGGACTGTCTGAGGCTGCCGATGCGTCTTCCGTTTCTCACGCAATTACTTCTGAAGCTCAAACAATCGATTTGCCCTCTTGGCGGACGGAATCACTCAAACTCTAAGGAATCTCTCCAAAACTAAGGTAAACCCTCTCTAATTGTTCTTCTGTCTAAGTTGTGTGTCCATTAGGAAAATAAACAAGACTATATATATTAAGTGACAAATTAATCTAAGCCACACATCTTAAGTGGCAAGCTAATCTAAACCACACATTTTGATTAAAATCAAAGGATCACAACCTCCAAGCAAACAAGTAGCTTCGACCGAGTCCGGATTGCAATCGGTCCGTCTAAGGTCGGGTTCGGGTAATCCGGAGCCGTGTCATCCTCTCCCCCTTCGGTTGCCTTATTCTCAAGGCTAGTAGAATCTTCAGCGTGATCAAATAGGCTCAAATCGGCAACATTGAAAATCGCATTCACACGCGACTATTCCGGAAGTGCAATGCGGTATGCCTTATGCACTCCAACATACAAAATAAACTAGCTCCATGAGGAGAAAATTTCCCATGCCACAACCCCAGAAAGCGTTCTCTACGCAAATGTACCAATACCTAATCGCCGGGTCGAAATATCACGCGTTTTCTTCCGCGAGTGGCATAGCATGCGTATGTCGCGGCCGCCTTATTAATGTTCTCCCGTACTTTGGCATGTAATTCCTTGATTGATGTAGCTCGATCCCTGCCACTAAAATTCAAATACTCGCTAATAGGTAATGGAAACATATCGGTAGGGGTTAGAGGGTTAAAATTATAAACAGCCTCAAACGGGGACAATTTAGTAGTAGTACTAACATGCCTATTCTAAGCAAATTCAATACGTGGTAGGCATTCATCCCATGTTCGACCACTATCATGTACCATGGCGCATAGAACATTACCTAAGATACGATTGACCGTCTCTGTTTGACCATCCGTCTGGGGGTGACACGTGGTAGATAAAAGTAAGCGCGTCCCAATTTCATGCCAAAGACTTTTTCATAAATACGATACAAACTTTACATCCCGGTCTGATACAATAGTTTTTAGAACCCCATGCAATTTCACAACCTCTCGAAAGAAAAGTTTTGCCACATGACTAGCATATGTCGTTTTCACACAAGGTATAAAGTAAGTCATCTTGGAAAATCTATAACCACAACAAAAATTGAATCTTTAGCACACGGTGTCCGAGGTAAACCAAGAACAAAATTCATAGAAATATCTAACCAAGGGTCTTCCGGAGTGGGAAGAGAAATATACATACCATGGGGCTTCAAAGTACTCTTAGCCACTCTAT